AAGAACTTATCTACTGGTCCTGTTCACTGGAGCCACACTTCCGGCTTTTTTCTGCTTATGTGGTGCTGAGGAATTGAACCCAGGGCCTCACGCATGCAAGGCAAGCACTCTACCACTGAGCCACCTTCCCAGCACCAAGCTCTGGCTTTCTAATTGGCTTAAAGGACTTGCTTGTTTTCCACTTTTGTTATTGAAATAGAAGTGGCAATCTGCTTTCAGGGCGCAGCCTATCAGCAGTCTCCTTCCTCAGCTTTCCTGACCTTCAGGCTGTGCAGCTGCCTCTGTGGAGTTAAAAATGGACTGTCAAGCTGGCTTTAATTTCTGAGGCTCTGCCTGCAAACGTCCTCCCACTGATCTGTTTATCACACACCCTCCTTACCCCTTCTGTGGTTGTTTTTCTTACAAGAGTTTTTAGCCTGGGCAGCTGATTTTGTCTTTCAAGGCTATCACATGCAGATCTTTCCACATAAAAACCTAAGAAACCAGGAGCCAATGCTAAGATCTCACCCGGTAGAACATACTCTTCTGGAAGGCATGTTTTCTCTCATATGTAGAAGTCAGATCTAAATTATGAATGCATGTGTAAAACATACAGGGTCATATGTATATATACACAAACATAGTAACTGAAGTATGGGATATGCAGGGGAGAATTCCAATGGCATAACTCCTTTGACCGATTAACTTATAGTCTAACCAAATGAATACCAGGCAGCTGAAATCTATGTGGTGGGTGGCGATGAGGTCAAGGTAAGGAGGGCAGATAAATGGACGGAGAAGGATGGGCGGATGCAGTCTTAATATGCAATGTGCGCACGGGGAAATGGAACTGGGAAAAAATTGGGGAGATGGGTGGAGTTGAGGGAGAAAGAGAAAAGGGGCGACATTGATCAAGATGCATTTACTGTTGAATTAAAACCCTTTTGTACAACTATACTGAAGGATAATGAAAAATTAAAATAACAAAAAGAAAGAGGGAAAGGAGAAAAGAAAAAGAAGAACGGCCCACTTTCTCCGGGCATTGATTGCTAGCGACATTTTCATCTTCAGATCCACCCAGAAGCCCACCTCTGAAAGATCCTCTGCTCCTGGTGCACAGAGCGGAGGGGGGGGGGGGGGGGGAAGGAAGGGATTGCTTAGAAGCTTCCATAGAAAAAAACCCACGCGTATGAGTGTGGGAGGACAGTCTGTTTCCGGGAGTCCTTTCTTCCTCTTCGTGCTCGGATTCCTAGCTGCCCCAGAAGCCTGTGGGAGTTTACCCCCAGCCCAACGTAGAAACCTCGTTCTCCTCCTAGTCCAGATTGCCAAAGTTCCTCCTGCCAGAAACTTCTGCCTCTGAGCGGGGTAATGGCTCCCAACTACCCCGCGGACGGAGGAGGCGGCGGCTGGCGATCCCCGCGAGTGGATGTGCTCCGTGTCTTGGCCAGCGTCCCTTTCCTTCTTTCCAGGCCCCTCGCGCTGCTGTGGGCCCGGAGTCTTCAGGCCAGGCCCAGCCTTCCCGCGGAGAAAATGCATTAGTCACAGACCAACCCGGCGCGAAGGGTGTCCGGGACCCTGGAGGGGCTGACCGGGACCCTCCCCTAACCCCGGGGAAGCCCCTGCGCGCTGGGTGGGAGCGCAGCCTGGAGCTGGCGTGGGGGGTGGAGGCCGGAACACGCGCATCCAGGATGCTTGCCGCACCGAGACCTGCGCCAGGTGTTCCGGGGTGCCGCGGGGGAGGGGCGGGGTGGGACCGCGGGTCACGGTAACACCCCCAGGGAAGCCTCGGGGTCAGGTCAGCCTGGGGATGCAGACACGATCGCTTGGGGAGTGGGGCTGGGGGGGGGGCGCGCGCACCTTCGAATCCAGGTTAGCTGGAAAGCGAGGTGATCACTCTGGGGGGCGTGGTGCACCCAGATTAAGTCTGGGTGACCTGTGACCTGACGAATGGAAATAGTTGACATCCCCCTAACTGAGATTATCCCTCCCCACCCCCAGCCCAACTCCAACTCTCCGAGAAATCCAGACACCAGTGTGCAAGCGACCTGACCCCAGGGGGCGGGGCAGCGGCCGGGTGGGCGGGGCGGCCCAGGGGGCGGGGCGCCGGGCTATAAAGTGCCCGCTGGCCCCAAGGTGGGAGAGGCTGCCTGGAGTCTGCGCCGGGTGCTGTTGGTGGGTGGCCAGCCCGCTGCGGATCCGGGCTGGGATCTCTCGATCCCTGGCCGGAGGGGGTGGCGAGTGTCTGCCTCGATTTACCCCCTGGGTGTTCCTGGTATTCCACACCGCCGGGTGGGTCCAGGTGAAGTGCACGCAGGTGAGCCTCACCGCTCTCCAAACTGCACTTCCTTTCGCGTTCCTTCGGGCTGTGGGCTGTGTCGTTGGCCGAAGCCGTTCCCGGAGCTCTGTCAACTGGAATTGCAAAGGCTCCTGTTGGCACACGCACACACACACACACACACACACACACACACACACACACACACACGCACAGAGTTCCTGGGCTGCTGGGCCCTGGAGACGCTGGGCGGTTTTTGGTTTTGTTTTTGTTGGTTAAGATCCTCTGCACGTCTGGTTACTTTTGCAAATCTCTTTTTTGTTGTTGTTGTTGTTGTTTTTCTCTCCCCAGAAGCCCAGAAAGGCCGTTCTGCCCCGCGAGGGAAACCTTAGCCGTTGACCATGGTTGCAACTGGCAGTTTGAGCAGTAAGAACCCGGCCAGCATTTCAGAGCTGCTGGACCGTAGCTGTCACTCGGGCAGCCTGCTAAGTGGTGAGTTCCCCACCCCCCACCCCACCCCTTTGTCCCCTCCAAAGGTCGCAACCCTCCACAGACCTCACACCCTCCCTCCCTTTAGAGAGGGTCGCAAGGTTCACCCAGGACCCCTTTCCAGACTTCCCCAAGGTGGATCTGTTCATGACAAACGAACATAAAATACCCCAAGGGCTGCATCCGTCTAGCGTCGATCCAACCGCTTGGGAAGTCCAGTTCCTTATCCTAATTGGCTGTGAAAGTAAGCGTACAGTAACGTGCCTTTTAACAAAGGTATTTGTGTGCCTGAGTAGCCAGCATCCTCCCTCCCTCCCTCTCTCCCTCCCCTCTCTTGATCTCCCCCCCCCCACCACTCCCCAAATTCCAGTGTGCCCATTTGCTACCAATTCCCTGCCTTCCCCTCTCCTCAGAGACTACTCATCTCCCATCTGTTTTGGGGTGTTTTTTGTTTTTGTCACTAGATCAGTTATGCCTTTACAGTCTAATGTAAACAGAATAACACAAAAATGTATTCTTTGGTATCTAGTTTCTTTCCCAGAGCCTAGTAGTTTGGAGATCCTTCCATGCTTGCTGGGATCGGTGTGTTCCTTTTTATTACCGAGTAGGATTCTATTTGTGGATGTTCCCATTATTCCATTCTTAAGGTCAGAAGGAAACTTTGCACACAGCAGTGGTTCTACACTGCTTGTCCTAGGCAATTTTAAGCAACAAGTTGTTAAACAGCACTCTGCCACCAAAGACCCGATTGAGCATAGATACAATACTTAAATTTGGTGGGGGTGGGAGAAAGGGTAGGGTGGTCTTTCTGATTTACAAGGTAAAATTAGGTGGTGATCTAATTTTATAGGCCCAGACTCTACAATTTTCTTCTCTTCAGCATAGCTTAATGATGAAGCTCTTAATAATGTGGAATGTATTAGTTGAATTTTTAAAAAAGCAATGTTCTCCATGAATATATGAAGTGGAGAGAAGAAAGCTAATGGGGTGAAGGAAGTTGGAGTTGGTTAGCAGGCAGGCAGCTGCTTGTGCCCTGCTCTAGTAACTGTGGTATGACACTCTGTCAAGTGTTAGGATTAATTTGGGAGGTAGTGGCCAAGTGTAGACCTATCTTTTTTCCTTTGAGCAAATCTAATTTTGTTTCCCTAGGTCTATTTTGTTTTGCTTGGCTAAGAAAAACTACCTAGCCAGTTATAAATAACCTCACGAACCTCAAAGGTCTCTTCTTCTCTGAGCAATCTTTAATCAAAGTAGTTGGAACTAAAATTGGGTTTAGAGGCTATTCTAGTAAATACTTAAAAAAATAAAAACATTGTAACTCTGATAGGTTTTTTTATGTCATCCATCAAGCTCCCAATAACTCACTTAAGAACAATTACAAAAATATTCTGTATTTTATAGTATATGTATTCTTAGGGGGGAAAAAGACAGTATCTCAATCAAAAAAAATTGTAACAAGTTTAGTTGCAGGTATGATTAATGTTTTCTAAAGCAAAACTAAAAAAGAAAAAACTTCTGAAACAAATAAGCAAGAAAGGAAATCACTAGAAATTTTAGAAGATTGACAATAGAGTTTTGACATATAAGCACATGTATATGTGATGTCTATATGGTTTTTCAATTTAAATTAGCATACCTTTATTCTATAGATAAATTTTCAATTTTGTGATGTTAAATGACTTACTGTATTATCTAACTAGCTTAACAAAAAAATAGATGGTTAGCTCCCAGTGAAATATTAGAAACGGATAGAGGGTGGTATCATGACATACACCTGTAACCACAGCACTTGAGAGGTAGAAGAAAGAGGAAAGTGTGTAGAAGACTAGCTATACCTCCATTTCAAAAGAGAAAACAAAAACATAGACAAGAAAGAGGGAGGAGAGAAAAATACAAAGAAAAACCAAAGATTTAGTAGCTAAAAGGAAGCACCCAGTGCTGCTATCTTGTTAGGTTTGGATTTTTGTTTGTTTGTTTGTTTGTTTGCCCTCCTCCTAGATTTTCATCTAAAACTTTGATTTCCTACAGACTTTGACTACTGGGATTATGTTGTTCCTGAACCCAACCTCAACGAGGTTATATTTGAGGAGACAACCTGCCAGAATTTAGTGAAAATGCTGGAGAACTGTCTATCCAAATCCAAGCAAACCAAACTGGGTTGCTCCAAGGTCCTTGTTCCTGAGAAACTGACCCAGAGAATTGCTCAAGATGTCCTTCGGCTTTCTTCCACAGAGCCCTGTGGCCTTCGAGGCTGTGTCTTGCACGTGAACTTGGAAATCGAAAATGTATGTAAAAAGCTGGATAAGATTGTGTGTGATGCTAGCGTGGTGCCTACCTTTGAGCTGACGCTTGTGTTTAAGCAGGAGACCTGCTCCTGGGCTAGCTTTAGGGACTTCTTTAGTAGAGGTCGCTTCTCTGCTGGCCTTAGGCGAACTCTGATCCTCAGCTCCGGATTTCGACTTGTTAAGAAAAAACTTTATTCTCTGATTGGAACCACAGTCATTGAAGAGTGCTAAGAAGGTTGCAGGGAAGGGGGGAGGGAGTATTCAGAGCTCTTTTATGATTGGGTAATAAAAGGATGCAGCTATTCACTTAAAACCATTTGTAGCTTTGCCCCTGCCTAACTTCAAATTTCTTTCAGCGTTTCTCATTCATAACAACCCCATCCAAGGGGATGTGACTTGTACAACATAACCCAGGAAGGTGTATTTGTTCTACGTGCATCATATTTCTTACGGGATGGAAAGGAATAAGGAAGGAAGGATAATGGACCCCACTTCAGTTTTGCATTTTATTCTATCCTTTTTTTTTTCAGTCTTGGTCCTACAACATGGAAAAGTGATTTGCATAGTTTGCTTTTCATGTCTTTTTTTTCTCCTAAGTTTCCAAAATAATCTTTTCAAATATAGAATCTTATTAAGTTGATGTCTAGCCCATCAGAATTTCCAAAAGCTCACAATTACCTGACAGTTTTCCACTCAAATTTGAAAAGTTTGGCTTATGCCTATAATCTTCGCTACTTAAAAGACTGAGTTCTGAGGATCACAGTTCCAAAGTCAACCTGGGCAGGAAAGTCTGTGAGCTGCTTGTACCCTATTAGCCACCAAAAAGCTGGAAGTGGAGCTATGACTTAAGTGGTAGAGCACTAGTCTTGAACAAAAAAGCTCAGGGACAGTGCCCGGGCCCTGAGTTCAAGCCACAGAACATTTCAGTGTTTTTATTTGTTGAAGAGTTTGTGGCCTAGAGTGTAGAATGAAATGGATGAGTTTAATTAGAACTTCACCTTGGGTAAGAGGGAGTGGAAATGTCAAGCGACCACAGATCTGTTTCATAGTTTCTTTGTGATCTCCTTGCACTTCTGTGATCAAAACTTGATTAAAAACTTTAGCTGTGTTTTAGTAACTCACATTTCACCCTACAAACTTTATGGTATCAGACAAGCTCAGTTTTCCTAGGTCTCAACTCTGGAATGCTGTCTTTAAACCAGAAAAATGGAAATGTTAAACTGGCTTTGTGTATGTCATCCATTTCAGTGAACAAGCAATCAATACCTATCTGTGAATAAAGGAGGGAAAGAGGCTTCTTCTAGCCCGTTCCATGCAGATTCATTTGGTAACTGGTTTCTTTCCATTACATATGCTTAGTATGAACCCTCTCACATGAACCATCTCACCTGTCAGTGTTATTTTGTTTCTTATCTTTTCTGGGAATTTAATTATATGATCTCTCCTTAATCTCAATCTCTGGATGTTTATATCGACCCAAGTCTGCTTTGGGGGTGGAGATGTGGTTCATGCAAGACTAGACAATGAAAAATCATCTTCCCAGATAACCTGTGCACACATGCTCAGCCTCTTTCCACTATCTCTACCCACCCCTTGGGATTAATAAAAGCTTTGTTTTGCTTTGCCTTGTTTTTGTCTTATTCCAACTACTAGATATCTCTCTTGTCTTTTTATGGTAATGAGAGATTGGGTCTCCACTTGACAGTGATCTACTCAGTGTATCCTTGCTGTGGGTTTTGGATGGGAGTTCATCCAGATGTTCTGACCAGCCATTAGCTCTACTTGATCCACATGCATCCCCAGGGTTGTAGAAGTGAAAGTCTTCATCCTGGTGGAACGAAACCAAGTCTGATCCCGTGACTGATATTAGAGGTGACCTCACATGTCACTGCTCAAATGAGCTGGTATTTTAGGAAATTGAGCTCTTAAATTGTTTGGAACAATAACCACAAAGACAGTCTTCAGAGGACTGGGCCAATCAATAGTCAACACTGTTTTGCATGTCTGTCTAGCTGTCTGTCTGTCATTCAGGGTTCTCTGAAAGTCACTGTGTTTCTGTAGCTGGTGACTATGGAGAAACGATTATTATCCTTTTTCACCAATAGTTATCATTTTCACTCTTGTTTGTTTTGCTTAAAAAATGATGATGGCTTCTGGGAGCTCTTGAGTTAAAGGCATTCAGAATAACAGATTCCTGTTAAAGGAAATTAAAGTTTGTCTATTTTGGACAATAAAACATATTTTTAAATCTCTTGTCTGTTGCTGTCTCTTCTGAATTTATTCAATGAACACCCTCAAATATATTTGATACTGTTTGTAGGAAGATAACTAATCCTTTTTTGCAAAGCCAGTTTGTATTCAATTATAATATTCTAATTGTATTTATTGTATGTTTATGTATCAATAAAGAGTTATTTGCTTAAGAATTTTTTCAACTTTTTCATATTTTTGATACAAAGACATTAATAATTTGAGCTTCTATGGCAAATAAGTTTAAAAATAAATACAAAAGTCACAATTCAAAGACTTCTTACACAGCTTTTCCAATGACCAAACACATATACCAAAGTCTGTGAACAGCGTACATATTCATTTGTATTAGGATATTCTCGTTAAAAAAATCTTTTGATTCTCCTATTTTCGTTCAATTTACATTTAAATTTTTTAATAGCCACCTTTTCTGTCTCCATAAATTATGGTCAGTAATTCAGATTTCCCTAACAAGACATATATATACACATAGGTACAAATATATATATACATATATACATATATCATCTATGTGCATGCATCATGCAGTATATATCATATATTTGATACATATATAAGCATATGTGTATATATATGTGTGTATATATGTATATATGTGTTTGTATATGTATTTTATATAATATATGCATAAATAAAGTATATACTTGCATATATGTATATACACATATATGTAAGAAATGATACATATAAAAGGCATATTTTACACACATAATAGATATTAAGTATCTTACATCAATTATTGATATATATTTAAACAAATAATAGTTGTAACAATAATATATGTTAAAGTCCCATGCAGATTGGCAGATCAAGAGGCACATGCTGAGGAGAATCATCTTCATGTAATTATTCAGTGTTCTGGACTCTGTCATTGATTATAGATTCAAACTACTCCATTGCTTCCTCTGCATCTGCCACAGACAAAAGGAGAGCGGGATTGGGAAGGATCTCATGGAAAAATATAGGGGACCAAATTGGAGATGGTGCACAAAAGTTCTGCCTTCCTTCCCTGTAACACTCAATAAGTTATAAGAGTTGCTGGGCAAAGTAGTCAAATGGTATGCCCCAGGGGAGATGGGCTTAATGAACTGCCAACACAGGGAAAGACTAGTTAAACCAGAGAAACAATAGAAAACCCAGATACAAGGCTCTTTCTGTATGTATGGAAAGCTTAATTTATGGCCCAGTAGGCACTTTGGATCAATGGGTAAAGGGTCATGTTTTCAAAAATAATAACAATTATTTGTGGAAAAAATTGAAATTTGATGCATACACATTGAGCATTAATAAGTCAATTCCAAACTAATTGAAGAAACAAATAAGAAAGAAAATTAATGGAACACAAATAATTTTTGCAATTTTGCTACATGGAAAGTTTTTTAATAAGCTGCACTGAAATGTCTTTTGATGAAGTCCTATAAAGAAGATAAAAATGAAATTCTTGAACTTCAAGAAAGCATCTTCAATACACATAATTGAGAAAAAGTTACTGCCTAAAATAAATTAACAATTATTTCTAAGTGTTAAGTAAAAACACAACCCAAAAGAAAATATATAGCAAAGCCTGAATAGGCCTTCTACAGACAAAGAAAAGTGTATGAAAAGATTCTCAACCTAAGTAATAAAGAAATGCCAAAAAAAAGCAGAATAAGACATTGACATTGGTTTAAAAAATGATGATTCCTAAAATTGATACAGATTAGGGAAAAAGTTTCAGTGTTCTAAAATACTTATCCTAGCAGTCTAACATTGGCTTATAAAGTTAATGATAGACAAAGCGATCATAATTTTAGTTGTCAAGCAGTGTTCTTTAAACTCTTTGCTTATTGAACATCTAACAGAATTTTGTGAAATTTTTTCTGCCATATTTCCAAGTTGCCATTCAATTGTTTTGCCCTATGTTTAAAAAGTTGCAAATGAGGTAAGCTGCTATGTGTGGTAAAACAAACCTTTACAAATAAAACTATTACATCATTTTGTGAAATATTTCCAGTGGGATGTAAATAGCACAGTGCTTTGGCGCCAACGTCTATCTAGAAAACACTAAAATAGGTCTTCAACAGACTGTTTTTTTCTCAGTGTTTTTCCTTTGTTCTTGTATCTCACGAGGTCATTTTTCTTATGCTTAATTTAATGTCATATATTTTAAACTTGAAAGTCATTAACATTTTTTCTACAATAAAAACAAACTATGAATTGACATTCAAACTGGTTTGATAATGTGTCAAATGATTTTTTTATTGCGGTTTCCTGAAAAGTATACAATGATCAAAAACCAGCACTCTCTATGTGTTCAATTTTATAGAAACAATGAAACACTAAAATATTAATAAGCTATTATTTCATGAAGCAACTCTTTAAATAGTGTGTATATTTAGGTAAACATGACTTTTGCTAGAAATTGAAAGACAAAATTTCCTGTTTTGTTTCTATAGAGAAAATGTATTCATATCAGTAAGTGAGAATGAAGGGAATTTTGTTATAACTATAGCATCCAACATTTGGCCTATTTTCAAGAGATTTACTCAAATCATCTAAACTATAACAAAATTTATTTTAACTGATTGGCTATTTCAATTTTTTCAGTATTTTTTTAAATCATAAGACTGAGGCCAACTGACTTACAAAAGGACTTGTTTCCTCTTTTACTAGATTGGCCATACCACTGCACTAGTGGGTGACTGACAAACAGAATGTTTCTTGCTCACAGTTTTGGTAGAAATCCAGGAAATAAAGTGCTGGCACAGCTTGTTTCTTCTGAAGCCTTTCCCTTGGCTAACAGGCAGCCATCTTGTTTCAACGTTTTCTCACTGTCTACTTCTGAGTTTATAGCTGTGTCCTGCTCTCCTTTTATTTTGTAAGGACAACAGTCATATTGGATGACAGCCACTCTAGGACATTATTTTTTATTGCTTCATCACAGACTCTCCAAATACCTGCTGATGTACTAAACGACAATATATGA